TACCAGCACCTTCGACCTTCGCAACTTTTCCATCAGCCAGAGTAACGGTTTTCACTTGGCTCTTCTGGATTTCCTCGAAAAAATCGGAGTCACAGCACATGTGCGCGGACGCACCTGAATCCACAATCCATTCCGCATGGTCCGATTGCTCATGCACTCCCAAAGCAAACGTAACGGTTTCGTTTTCACTGCGCACGCTTTTTACCTTCGGGGATTTTTCCTTACCGTCAACCGATTCCTTCGCATACAGCCTGCATTCCGATTGCTTGTGTCCAGGTTTCTTGCAGAAATGGCACGTTAACGGCTTCTTCTTCTTCTTCTGGAATCCTGCTTTCATCGCTGAACTTGAAGAACCTTGACTTCGTCTCTTCGCCACTTCATCTAACAGCTTCCCTTTCACCAGCTCCAGTTTCAGCTCCTCATCGGACCGGCTTTCCAAGGCCGTGGTCAACGTATCGAACGAATCAGGCAGGCTCCTAAGAACGAGGGCGACCATTAACGCTTCACCCAGGTTCAGTCCAGCGCACGACAGCTTCGTGAACAACTCTTCCAGCTCGAAAAGATGATTCTGCATGTCGTCCCCGTCGTTGAATGATATGTTGCAAATCCGTTTCAGCAGCGCAACCTTGGAACAAAGGGATGTTTTTTCGTGGTGTTTCTTGAGGCTTTCCCAGGCTTCCTTGGCGTTCTTCGTTTCGCGAATCAGCATGTGTTGTTGGTCTTCGACAAGCAGCGCAATCGTCGCTCTTGCCTTCCGGTCACCGGATTTCCAGCCTTCCGTCACCGGTTCTGGAGCCGCGTCTTCGATGTACCGCCACAGGTCCTCCCTGGTCAGCAGCATCTCCGCCTTGAACTTCCAAACCGAATAGTTGGAATTGTTCAGTTTAACAACCGACACTTTGTTGCCTTCCATGGAACTTCCAGAATTTTCACACTGAAGTGAAAAAAAATCTTCAAACAAATTCAAACGTTGCTATGCGACGGTTGTCCTGGGCCCATAACCTATTGGACTATTCGGAAGGGCAAAGAAGTTCGACTGAACGGTTTAGCGGTAGACAAATGACTAAATTTTCTTTATTACAGGTATCACTTATATACTAGAACAGGGAATCACTGGTTGCTTCGATTCGGATACTCTAACACCATATACCATCAAAACACTTTATATAGCTTACGTGAGATCAATTCTCGAATATTGCAGTGTGGTTTGGGCTCTATACAATGAAACTTATATAAATCGTATAGAATCAGATCAAAAACAGTTGTTGTTATTTGCTCTTAGGAAACTAGGCTGGACCTCTTTTCCCCTTCCTTCTTATGAGTCCCGTTGCATGTTGATAAACATTGAAACACTTAAGAAACGAAGAGAAATTTCCATGATTTCCTTTGTTAATGATATTATCTCACAACGCGTAGATTCAGAAAAAATATTAGCAAGCTTAAATTTTTACGTACCATCACGCATATTAAGAACTCGAAATGTATTTCAACTGTCACCTCACAGAACGAATTATGGTTAAAATGGACCAATCAATAGAATGATGAGAGTTTATAATAATTATTGTGAGCGTATAGATCTAACGATGTCTAAAGATACAGTATAAGGAGAACTGCTAACTGCTAGGATTTCATCTCGTTAAGTTTAAAACAATTTTTATTTTTTAGATATTTGTATATGTAATTCCAGAACAACATGTGAAAAGGGCATACAAGCTTTTTGTAAACAAACCTTCTTATGCCCTTTTCTCGCCACCCATATGACACCAACGCAAACCTTTAACATCACCGGGTAGGGGACACTTTCCCCTTCCCGATGATATTGCTGGCTTGCGTGGGTGACCCTCGGTTGGTGAAAAAAGGGCCTACAAAGGTTTGTTTACAAAAAGCTTGTATGCCCTTTTCACATGTTGTTCTGGAATTTACATTTATTGACAATTTCAAATAAAACGAATGAATTAAAATAGCATGTAAGGCAACAAAACTTTTGTAAAACGGTCTACACTGATTGACGACAAATAAATAAATAAATAAACAAAAGTTTTTTTCCACAGCATTGTTCTAAACTGGCTTCCAAGCTTCCAACCCATCGGTCCTTTTCAGGACCACAAATGACTGATAAAAGAGTTAACTAAAGAGTAAGAGCTTGTATCCAAGACATATCGTCCAGGATCGGCTTATACTACATGGTCATCGACAGAGCACCTCACAAACAGAACTCTCAAATTGCTTCCGAATTTCAACCTATCGAACTTTTTCTCTGATAACGAGTTAAGAAATCAATTTAATATACTGGGAAAATGGCTCTTTTGTTGGCCTATGGATCTAAGATTGGGCCCATCGCTAAAAATCTGCTATTTATCAATTTTATCTAGATGAACGCGTCATTGCGACGTTATTAATTGATATTTTTGGTCGCTATTGAAAATTTAGTCGATTGCTGAATTTATGTATGGGCCCAAATTAGGGGCATTTAGGCCGACATTACATCCATTTCCCCTACTATACTTTTGCTGTGACATCAAAACTACCATTCGTAATCCTACGTCAAATCTACGGTCGTGTCTTGGATACAACCTCTTACCTTTTTTTCGACAATTGTCGATGGTTCAATATGATCAACAGGCATCTTGAATTAGTGAATTACTCAGTTAAACGGATTTTAGAACTCATTTTGAGAACATTTTAAAAAAATTTGACACAATGAGCGGTGAATGGAAAGCACCACACGGTATTTCACTGGGTTTTTTATTCTATTTTATCAACTGCATTTTGAACTTTTCGCGGCTGTCGGGACTCATCGCGAGTATTCGTAATGCGCAATTCGATAGAGCTTGCCAAACGCGTTCTGGGCTGGGTAGTTTTTGAAATTTAGTCGGTATGGAAGCGAAATCTTAGAATCTCTATAGTATATTTAGTAGAATATTTAGGGAGGAAACCAAGATTAATCAACTTGCCAACATAGGCTATCACATTTATTTTGGTGGTACTCTTTAAGTAATTAGCTGATTTATAGCTGTTTCGCGCGGCGATCGGAACTCGCCCGGTTTCGAAACTCACTTCTAGAAAATTTGTTTATTATTCCAACCTGGATCGGGTATCAAGATCGACTCCGCTTGTTTTTAAAACCTATCTCAGGTTGAGGTTCGCACAGACAAAAAGTTCGGTTTCAAATTTCACAAATTCGCTATTAGTTTAGATATTTACTTAAACAGATTTACTGATTCAATAGAAGTACTACGCGGACGTATCCTTTAATTCGTTAATACGTTTATTGATGTGGTCTACGTTTATTGATGTGGTCAGGTCACAGCATTTTTTTTTTAAACTATCTTGAAATAATTGGCGCTGACGGCGAATCTGTAGCTCTTCACTCCTATCGTAAAATCCATCCAAAACGTCAAACTGTGCGTGAAACATGGCGGACATAAGAAACTGTCACTATTTGCTAGAAGAGACGATTTTCCGACGGTTCCGTCAACGCCAATTGTCGAAAGATATAAGCAAAATTTGCTCACATGGGTCAAGTTTTGAAAAGTAAGCTGTCACGCAGCTCCAGCTTGATACCATAACAAAATAATGGAATTCGTAACGAATTAGACAAAATTTAGTATTTCATTAACACAAATCTCTCGTTTTGTTCCGAATGCCCGGAATTAGGCAGTGCGCAGAATTATGGCGGTTGACGCTAGCTTCTTATTTATTTATTTTAAATACCGTTACTAACTGAAACTGATGAACTGAAATATGTACAAACCTTTATTAATTATACTAATCGTTAAGTTTTATTATGGTAAAGTTTCTTATTTAAAGATGTGTCGCGATTTCCCGAGATTCTGAAAACAAAACTCCGAATCCCGGGATTTTTTAATCCCGTTTAACAGGACCCTCTAGACTACCTAATAACGCGCACTCGTACACGGCGAATGAGAACGACTCAAATTTGAGTTTAGTTCACTCATAATCGCCAAAAGTGCAGGAACTCAGCGATGAGTAAAATTTGTCTCATGGTTTCCTGTAGAAAACCTAAAAAATCTGCCGGAAAATGAGGAAATTGACGAAAATTTTATTCAGTCTCGGAGTAGTACCAATAGACTGAGTGAATCCAATCTTTACTTTTCTCAAAATCGGGAATTTTTCCCTGGAAAATCCTGGGAAAACATGAGGCAAATTAACTCATCGCTGAGTGCCTGCACTTTTGGCGTTTATGAGTGAAGTAAACTCAAATTTGAGTCGTTCTCAGTGTAACATTTGAATCAGCGCTATATTAAACAGGCACCCCGCATCATGAATAGAATCACCATTTCTAACGTTATCCAGAGCCTTGTTCAATTGATCCAGAGTGTAAAGCTTAGGCGGAAAGTGATGGAGACAAATGAATCGCGAAACACCACAAGCTGCTGAAAGAACCACCCATCGTCTACAACACAAAAATCAGGCAACTAACATGGACTGGGTATATCGTAAGAAGGTCGGAAGACAAACCGGTGAAAATAGTTCTCGAAACTGAATCAAGAACGTCCAGATGAATGATGACCGGCGGAACCATCGCAGACAGTGTGGTTGGCGACATGCAGCCATAGATCGAGTGGTATGGAGTCGATCAGGGGAAAGTGGGATAAGATTGCCATCCTAACGAAGCTCGGATAATATCACCAACCGGTAGAGGAAACATTCCTGTACATGAATTCTCGCTCCCTGGATGAGAAATATGTCAGGCTGACCCAGCGCATCAGCGCACGCATTGCTATTCAAACAAACCCAAATACTGCAAAAAACAGCATCACTTACCTTTAAGTCATCATCCCGCACCGTAATACAAGTGTCGACGATTGATCCTCCGATAACTACCTAAAAAGACATAAGAATGTTCAGTTTGGCTGACATCCCAAATGTACACTCAGCAACAAGTTAGCTCTCAATATGCCTTCCGCATTTCTTTCAAATTGTGGATGCATTTCTTTTGAAAGGGAGAGACATTTTGAAAATAAAAACATCGATCATAAGATTATAAGTAACTTTAATACTAATATTACATTGCTACGAGGTAGATATAGACGTGTACGGATGTGATTGAGGAAATAATAAATTTAACTGACCGGTGCTCGCTGGCGGAGGGGCTGGGCAACTTCACCAATCTTCTCATCACTTGCACAATTTTCCAAACGATTCAACTCCAATGCGATTTCTCCCGCGACGCGCGCGTTGTTCTTAATCAGTGCGATGTCTGAAAGTGAGAATATAATGTTAGCAAACAAAATTTAGAACATCTACCACCATGATAAACATCATACTTGATTCCAAGCTTCGTCCCTCTGTGCGCTTGGAAATGGCCTCCAACACGAACGGAGTCATTTCTTTGCCACCGACGGCATTTTGTCCTGCATCGGCCAACGCTTGATCAATTGCATCGTCAATCAGCTTGCGATCGATTGCGTATTCCTCCGGCAGAGGTACGCCAATCAGGAATCCCGAATGCAAACCGAGCGACTTATTGGTGGAAAGCAGCTGGGCAGCTTCCACGGCGTCGTTCAAATTGTAGTCAGCTTTCGATCCACTGGAAGGGAAGTAGAAAGCCGGAAACTCTTTATCCGGACATTGATATGATACAACGCAAACGCCTTGAGTTTCCTGCATGAGAGTGTAAATAAATGGTGAAATTATGGATTTAAGTAAAAAAAAAAAAAAAAAAAACTACTGCTTACCAAATATTCCAACGTTCTCTGAATATCCAGAATCGACTTTACGCCGCTGGAAACCACGGCCACCGGAGTGCGGCCCAGCTCAACCAGATCGGCCGAAATGTCCAGCGATTGCTCTCCACCGCGGTGGACGCCGCCAATTCCACCGGTGGCGAAAATCCTTATTCCGACCAAGTTGGCCACCACCAGTGTTCCGGCAACGGTTGTGCCACCGCTCAGCTTGCGGCTCACCACATATGACAGGTCTCGGCGAGATGTTTTGATGCTTCTCTCTTTGCCGGCTTTGGCCAGGGTGGTCAACTGGTTCGAATCGAGACCAACCTTGACGCGACCGTCGACGATGCCAATGGTAGCCGGAATGGCACCCTGCGGAAGATAGGAAAGTGATAAGTAAAGTAAGCGTCGGGCTTGTTCATTTTGTCATGCATTTTGCATTGCATTTCCCTACTTTGCTTGATTATTTATATTAGTTCTACTATAATTGTCTCCAAAATCACCTAATGTCCCCCCACTTCATATCTGTCATACCTCGGAAATGGTGCACGATCCAGATAAACTTCGCATCTGCAGTTCAACTGTACCCTGTGGTTGAGTTCATCTGCACGCCCATGGGATCTTGCCGAACAGCAAGTTACTTAGTGTCAACATGCGTCATGCACTTTCGAGATTGAGCAAGGCCTTATAATTGATTGATTGGTAGGTCACCCATCGCACCGGATCCTTTGGAGATGAACTAGTGCAACAGAGGAGTGCAGATTGGATCGTAGATGATGGGGTGTACTTGCATTGATCTGTTCCTATAAAACAAATACTGTTTCGCTCAGGCAATCGTCCAGATCTGATGGAATATTTGGGGTTAATACGTATTGACATCCCCCAATAAGTGCTGGGACTTGTATGGACATCCCTATAAAGTTCTGTGGATTTCCCATCGAAGTCCATACCAATTGAAACCAATGACTGGCAAGGATACCTAAGGAAAAACGTAGGAAACAAAATTTCATCCCGGAAGACCCTTGGTAAGACTGACTTTGTTTTCTTGTTAATAATGGCATGTTTGGCAACCCGGTTAATTTGACAGCTCAATTCAAGGCTCATTTTTTTTAAATTTTGAACAAGCAGTGAAATTTGAAAAATCCGAACCAAGACGTCGATACTTTTGGCGCGATTGATCTTGAGCGGTCTAAGCCATCCGTCAGGAAACGACAAAGAAAAGAAAAACAAGTCGATGATACACTTCAGCTGGACAAACTTTCCCGAGCGGAGGATCCCCTCGAGAAGGCGATCGAATTCTTTCAACAGCTTGACGAAGACAGCATTGAAACGGATCTGTATTTACAGACGCTGGGACACTGCTGCTGATGTTAACTGCCATCGCTTTTCCGGGGATCGAAATTAGCTTCGGAGATCAACGATAGCTATCTGTCAGCGAATTGGGACATTGCGGAGCAGCAACGGACGAACAGGTAGACGCAATTCAAAAAGTGATGGTGTGATGTTGCTAATTTCATCACCGTCGTCGTCGCCGACAAGTTACTCGTCAGCGGGACGACCATGTAGTGAAGCAACAGTCAACGGAAGCCACCATCCTACAGCTACATCAAAATCAAGATCAAAATAAACACCAGCTAAAACTAGCCTAGCCCTCCAAGCCGATTTCAAACTATTTAAACTATAGTAGTTATAGTTACAACTACATAGTAGAGTCCTAGAAGAGGAACAGGGCAAATAGGAGATTCTCACCGACGGCGGTCATCATTCGTGAGATTATTGGTTTCTCTAGAAGGATCACATCTGCTTGGCAGCATGCCTTGCTACCAAGCTGTCGTATACGAGAGCTGTCAAACGCAGATTCCATTGGAGAGAAAAGGGTATTCTGAATTTCAATCCGAATCAGGTACCATAATTTCTGAGTAACTGCCTCCGGGGAAGTATTTGCCGATGATTAGAGCAATAAACTTTCTTGGAGGAGCGATCTTGTTTAAATAATGGGATTGTAAGTGGGGTGTCGTTGATGATTTTTAGCGCAGCTGCGAATACCCTGGTTTTGGTATACTTGGTGGCCGGAATGTGTACGCTGACTGTGTTTCGGGAAATCTAACTCGGTATTTGGGGAATCCATGTCGGGACTATGCAAAAAAATAACGGTTGCGGTTTCCAAAAGTTGGATTGTGTTAACAACAATCAAATTTTGACACACGCGCACTGCGCAGGCGCCAGCTGGCTGGCATGCCGCCATGTTATAGAGATTGCTAAAGTATGATTGTGTAAGTGATTTGTATTCATCGGGAAAATTTTCCGCTATGAAGTTTTTTTTCCCGATGAAAACATTTTGCGTATACGTATACGTGACGCACACTACGTACGACAAACGTCAGCAATCTCTATTGAAACCAACATCTGAAACGTCACAATTCCAGTGTGAACTGCAAAAATGGCGTGACTGAATTGTCTTATTTTTATCAAATGAAATTATTTTCCCTTTTATGCCATATAAATGGTTGACTTCGTGGTAGAAAATCAGAAAATAATATTTTATGAGTCCTAAGTTTATTTTTCACAAAATGTAAGCAAAAATATTAAGAATATCCATAATATCAGTCACGCCTTTTTTGAAATTCTGGCTTGAATCTTCTATTTGTTTACAAATTATGAGCTGTCAGTGGGGCCCGCAATTCGCGGGTCCGCAGCGATGTTAGCTCTTTTCAAGGCAAGGCAAACAAGATAGGGATGCCACCTAGCTGGCAGGCGCAGAGATAGTGTAGTGTTGCCAGTTACTTTTAAAATCATATAAAATCCAAGCATGGGTGCCAAACAGTGCCAATGAATGAGCCCAGGTGTGCCCAAATCTGTTTTTGGCACACTGTGCGGAGTGAAGAACCCATTGCATCCAATTGAAAGATAATACTATAGAGAACATATAAATTAAAATATGTTTTATTCCAATAATAAACTGGGCTTATACATTCTAGGACACCCTATAGAAAAATTTGAGCAGAATTTCAATATTTTACTATAGGGTGAATTGCGCTGGATTTCTAAAGAATGTTCATATGAATTTCAAATAGAACTATGGAAGAAAACTTCAGAAAACTCTTGGGGCAATCATAAAAAAAATAAGGTGAATTTAGAGAAATCATAAAAGCCGTACTGCGTTATCTAAGGATTTTCTTGACTGACGAATGATTATTAAATGATAAGTTAATTTTCAATGATTAATGATTATATTATGTGAGGCATATGATTAGGATTTATAATAAATTATTAATCTCTCAAAAATCATGATTAGTGATGATGACTAATCGTTTATCTTAATAATCATTAATTCTGATTAATCACTAACGCTCTGGAAAGTTTAATCTTCGTGTGGTGGTGGTGTATGTATGCAAGCGTGGGCTAGCAGAGACGACACATTGACGATAGAAGTCATTGTCATTGTTGGGCTTCCACCTATTTGATAATGTTCTCTTGAAATAATCGGAATTGAGACGAAACTGATAAACCAATCCACGCCAAATCTGGATCCGTCAAAAAATTAGAACTTTCCTAAAACCGGCCGGCAGTTAAATATTACAAATGTAAATCTCTACATTCTTTTTCATTCTGCATGCTTTCCTTCGAAAGGCTGGAGGCAATATGAAATGATGATTTAAATTATGGCGAACTAGCTTGTCTTTAGGTATTTTGATCAATTTTCAGCTGAAACTAGTATGTACATATGTCATTACGATAGAATTTTCCTTTTGAAGTCATGGGCGTTTTTTCAATGCAATATTTTGTTTACTGAAAATCACAGAATACAACACAACTTCACCGAATGATTTTGTGACTTATGTGATTTATTCCAAATGTTACATAAATAGTGTATCTTCCCAACCATTGGCACAGCATTTATTATTACGTCCCAACCAAAAGGCGAGCTTCGCCAGTAGAGCGTTAACCAGACAACAAATCAAATGCAAAACTTATCCACAAGCCTTTTCGAAGCATGGTTGCGCTTCGTCAAACCGAATTTCCCTTCAAGAATCCTATTCCATTCTCCCGAAAACCACATTGCAGCTTTGGGGGAAAAAAATCCTATCCATTTTCCGTCCCAATCCATATTTTCATTTCGGAAGCCGGATCTAGTGCGGTTGCCGTAGAGCTGAAAACTTGTACTAACTGCTGCTGCTGCTTGAATTGCACTTGTGCCGACCCATCTCAAAATTGTCTTTTAATTGAATGTGCGGTTTATGCAGATTTGGGTCCCGTTTACTTTGTATCAGTTTTGCTGTAGCTCGACCCGGTCATCCTCGTTACGTTACTCCAATGCGGACTATCGCCGACCCTTATTCTTGTCAAAACTTTTCCCCAGGACAGCCTCCACTACTGAGCGGCATAATGCACCACGTTCTTCCTTCCTATCTATCGCTTTCTCTCTACAACATACAGATGCAGCTCGGCAGTGACATAATTACGTTTTCGAAAAGTTTTGCCACCGGTTTCACCTCTCAATGCTTACCGTTTTGCGAACGACCTGCTCCACTTCGAGGGCTGTCTCCAGATTTTTCGGATACGGCATGCCGTGGGTGATGATAGTGGACTCAAGTGCCACCACCGTTTGCGGTGCCTTGAGGAGCGCCTCACGAACGTCCGGTTTGATGTCAACCAGGGAGCTGTTGGTTTACAAAGAGGCGAAACAGAATGGGTGAGGAAAGTTTTAACAGACTTTGGAGACCAATTAGCGACGACGATGAAGTCGCATTCTAGTTATGGTGTTGCAAGCATTTGATGCTAATTTATGCAAACCTTAGTTTGGCCAGATCTGCCAGTCCACGCTTGGGCAAATAGTTAACCACGGCGAAGCTGGACAACTTTGCTGGAACACGAAGCATGTTGCCTGAAAAAAAAGAAGAGAAAATTAGAGCGAGTTTGATAAAAGCCCGCGCAACAGGTTGCCCCCCGAGTCATTCAATTCCCATTAGACACTGGCGCGGCGTCGCGACGGTAATGCACCTAGCAACGATGGCATCGCCGTTTCCGTTTGTTTATTTTCCAGCACATTTCTTCCAGTCATTTTTTCGCCTACAATTCTCGAACAAATCTCCCCCAAAATCGCAATGGAGGACCTACCGAAACTTCCCGGGAACGACTTTGTCAATCGTCTGCGCCAGAAGCACCACGTCCCACAGAGCTTCAAGTACATCAACGGCTACCCGATCCCGGTGAAACCGATCTGTGGCTTCGGTGGTGAACAGCTGAACGAAGATTCCATCTACTACTGCACGGACGAAACGGATGCCGTCCTGTACGATCCGATTCTAACCTACGGACGCGTCCGGAAGCTACCGGTCAAACCATACCGGCCACACTTTGTGCTGTACGACCAGAAGACGCTTAAGTTCAATGCGTTCTTCCGGCAAGGCGTACCGGAATCGCCGAAGGAAACCTTCCGCATTCGGTACGTCAACATTCTGTACTTTCTGGAAGATGACACCATGACCGTACTGGAACCGGTTATCGAAAACTGCGGCTACCCGCAGGGTCGCCTTGTTCGGCGGGGTAAGATCATGAAAAACTGCCTGGGAGAGTTGTACAGCTGGAAGGATCTGAACATCGGAATCGATTTGGAGATACATGGGTACGTGTTCCATATTACGGATTGTGATCCGTTTACGAAGGAGTTTCTGCTGAGCAATGGAATCGAGTTGAACGAGATGGAATTCCCACCGCCGGATCCGGCCATGAACGAGAGGTCCATCAGCGAGAGACAGACCTTCAAGCACCACAAGATGTACCCGGTGCCGGAGGACAAACTGAGGAAATATCTGGAGTACCAGGGCAAAGTGCTGCAGTAAGTAGACTCTTCCTTTGGAAGGTTGTCGATAATTTGAAAGGGTGCAATCTTGATTGATTACAGTTTCGATTGCCTGCTGGATAAACCGGACCAACCCGGAGGGATAAGGATGACCTACAAGCTGTTCTACTTCCTGGAAGACGACACGGTATCGATCAAGGAGCTGAAGGAGAATCAGGAAGGGCGGGATTACTTCCCGATGCTGCTGCGGAAGCAGAAGCTGCCGAGGAATTGGACGGAGAAATCAGGTGGGTGATTTTTTGTTTGCAAACTATATAGAGCAGTTTGCATGCTATATAGAGCAATTCCACGCCAAATGACGAATCGATCTGATGCGACCTTCTCTAAACTTTGCATAATAATTATTGTTTGTCATGGTCAATCATTCACATTTTGGCTAAAATTCGGCCATTTTGAATCTCGTAAAAACTTCAAAATGGTATTCGAGATTTTTCAACACATCATAACTCGAAAAATTCACTTACAATCGAAATGACGTCTGAGACAAAGTTGTAGGAAAATATAATTTCATTACAGGACAATTAAACACTGTGTAGAAAATTCAAGTAATTTTGTGTAAAAACCCAAAAAAAAAGTGTTTAAAACTTAAATAACAAAAAATTACCCTCATCAATATTTTTTCAATATTTCTCATCAAAAAGCTTATGAGTGCTACCTTCTGAAAAAATTTCAAGCTGAACACTTATATACCAACACAAAAATTTAACAAAAGGAAGGTTGCTATAAAAGTTCAAAAATTTGTGCAAAAGTTGTTGATTACGGATTTTTGTTATTTTTTAAGTGTCCAACTTGAAATTTTCACAGAAGGTAGCATTTTTCATAAGCTTTTTAATGGAAAATATTGAAAAAATATTAAAGATGTTAACACAGACAAACAAACATAACACTCGCAAGTTGTTCATTTAACGGTCAATTTAAAAGTATCGTAGTTGGTAGTACCGCCACCTGTGGCGCGCATAGTCAATTCCCTTGCGTTTAACGTTTACACACTACCGCCATCTGTTCAGCGTACTACCACAAACGAAGTGACAGACGACTAACTGGCGAAGAAATCAATTAAAATAATGTGGTTCGCTGTAATAGAATTTCCTTAGAAGCTTCTGCCATCATCCACCAGATGGGATAGTATTTTTGTTTTGGTTTTGCACAAAGTTGATTTTGTGTACAATGATTCTTTGACAGTGTGCAAAGAGTGCGTATCATTTTGTCATTTTTTATGCATTTCAGTTTTGAGTAGAGTGAAAGAGATAGAACCAAAACGTTCTAGTACATTTGGTGAAAATGCTAGTTCAATCCAGTAGTAATGTTGCCATGTGGTACAATCCAGTAGTAGTGGTGTTGCCATGTGGAACACTGAAAAATTGCAATAGCAGGTTAGTCACCAAAGTTTTCGTGCCGCTCCGTCTGTCACTTCGTTTGTGGTACTACCCACCACAGTGTATTCAACAAATTGCGGTATTGTTTTAGCGACGATGTTTTACAGTGATAAATATTCAATGTGTTATGTCTGTTTGTCTGTAATGTTAATTAAGATTTAAACACTTTTTTGGTTTTTTTTACCCAAAATAACTTGATTTTTGTTTTACCGTGTACAAGTTATAAATATTTTTACTATGTTTTACCAAATTTTACTAGAAATTTTCTACTGTTTATTTTTTTTTTCCTAAAAAGGAAATATCAACAGTGAGCATGCACAAGGGCGTATTGATGAATTTACGTTACGGTCGACCAGCAGATGGAAATCTAGAGTAACATTTGAGATGGGCCTATGTCCAAAACATAAACAAACCAGAAAATGAATTTTAAATTTTTCCACCACTATTCAATTCATATTTAAGAAAATTGAAGTATTTTAGGCATTTATATTGTTCACAATAACAATAGTAACTGTATCTTAGTATACAACCTCAAAAATATGCGAAAAGCTTTCAAAAATATATGAAAATCAATAATTATCAATATTAATTTCATAAATTAATAAGCCTTTTTGTGAATCTTTCAATTGATAGGCCTTTTTTGTTAAGCCGTTGTTCTTGTCATCACGAATGGTACGCCCTTTGCTAAGCCTTTTCGCAACGTCAAATAAATTCAAAACAAATCATCGGCCCTGCCTCAACCAGTAGGGCAGCGCTGCCATTTATACAGATTTATCTGTATTATACAGATTTTTTAATCTTAATACAGACCCGATACAGAATACAGATTTATCACAGATTTTTAAATTACAATACAGATTTATACAGATTTTTATAAAATGAATGTTATGGTGTTTTTGACAGCATTCACAACCAGATGACCAACCGCTTTCGGATGCATATGGAGCTGGTAGTAAACGATTTGAGATTGTATGGGGATTTACAGTATTAATTGAATATTTCCAATATAAGCATGTATGTTAAATACAAGAAAAGTGCCCGAGCACATTAAAATGGTACAAATACAAGTACTCGTAAACATTTTACTTGCATTGAAAATGTATTTCGTAAGAAATTGCGGATTTTCTGATATTCTCCATACTGCAAAAATGATTTTACCAGCACTGGCGGGGCGACATCTCTCGACTTTTCGGTGTAACTACCACACAAATGATGTAATTAATTGTATTCATCTGACGGATTTCACGCCAACTCATCCAGTGGTTGGCAGCACCCTCTCAGAACCTTATGGAACTTTGTGGGTGTGGAGACTTAGCAATTTTAAGCAACTATATTAAAAATATCAAATAGTAATGAACTCGTGCACTTTTTTGCATTTAAAACTGCTTATCAGGAAGATAATGAATAGAAACTAAAATCTCCATACATTTTCAAACGGCTTCATATCACTCTTATAAATAAGTACGGACGATATCACAAATAGCGCAATTATATCCCGTATGGTTAGTACGATAGCCCGAATAGGTGGTTAAGCACTTTTTATGGTTATTTTGTATGCACTGTATTTGTAAAACAACAAAACATGATTAATTAAGAAAAAAATTGTCAATACAGAAAATACAGATTTTTTAATAGAGTGGATACAGATTTTTTATAAAACCACCTGGCAGCTCTGCAGTAGGGCCACAAACGAAGTGACAGACGGAGCGGCTCGAAAACTTTGGTGACTAACCTGCTATTGCAATTTTTCAGTGTTCCACATGGCAACACCACTACTACTGGATTGTACCACATGGCAACATTACTACTGGATTGAACTAGCATTTTCACCAAATGTACTAGAACGTTTTGGTTCTATCTCTTTCACTCTACTCAAAACTGAAATGCATAAAAAATGACAAAATGATACGCACTCTTTGCACACTGTCAAAGAATCATTGTACACAAAATCAACTTTGTGCAAAACCAAAACAAAAATACTATCCCATCTGGTGGATGATGGCAGAAGCTTCTAAGGAAATTCTATTACAGCGAACCACATTATTTTAATTGATTTCTTCGCCAGTTAGTCGTCTGTCACTTCGTTTGTGGTAGGGCCTAGCTTTGGTTTGAAAATTTTCAATCAACGGCCCTTCTACGTCACTAGGCTTATCAATTAAATGAAATAAATTAATGGTTGGCCGTTTTAGCATGCGGGCCTATTAATGAATCGAAAAATTTCGTTGATTTTGATTTTTCTCGATTACGCGGAATTTTCCTACACGATTAGTGGCTATCAAGCGGCACTTAAGAATGGTATCAAAACCCGATTTGTTTACGTTTTGGACATAGGACCATTTCAAATGTTACTCGAGAAATGATGTGAAAATGATAATGACATTTTGCTACCTGTCAAATCGTATGGAATATTTTTTAGTACACACATCATCAGTTTTGTAATTAATCATGTTTTGTTGTTTTTGACATCATCCACATCCAGAGGGCCAGTCACTTCGAATGTATGGGAATGGTAGGAAACCATTTGGAAATGCATGAAAATTTTCAGTTTTTATTCATTATCGTCTTTATGGGCAGTTTTAGCTGCACAAAAATTGCACGAGTACATTACTATGGTGATAAGGTAAACACTCGTTTATTTATTTCCTTCTGTGAAAGCATGTTTAATCACAAATCGTGGATTTTCTGATATTCTCCATACTGCAAAAATGATTTTCCTACCACTGAAGGGGCGACATCTCTCGGATCTTCAGTATAGCTACTACTCAAATCATATAATTAATTGCAAATCTGAAAACTAGGTGTCGCATGACCAGTTTTACCTTTGCGTAAATTCATCAATACGCGATGATCGATTGATGAATTTACGTTACGGTCACACGTTACGGTGTGAAAATGATAATGACATTTTGCTACCTGTCAAATCGTATGGAATATTTTTTAGTACATCATCACTGTTATGGTTTTGGGTTTTAAACCTAGGTGTCGCATGCACTGGTGCAGTTTCGCATAAATTCATCAATTAATCATGTTTTGTTGTTTTTGACATCATCCACATCCAGAGGGCCAGTCACTTCGAATGTATGGGAATGGTAGGAAACCATTTGGAAATGCATGAAAATTTTCAGTTTTTATTCATTATCGTCTTTATGGGCAGTTTTAGGTGTACAAAAATTGCACGAGTACATTACTATGGTGATAACCCTAATAAAAGAAATACCATAAGTGAACGATAACCCAAATGATTGAACTATTCCATAAATGGTTTGGATGATACCCCGAACACGTCGTTAAGCAAATTAACCATAACATTTTTATTAGGGAAAGTAAACACTCGTTTATTTGTTTCCTTATCTGTGAAAGCATGTTTAGTCACAAATCGTGGATTTTCTGATATTCTCCATACTGCAAAAATGATTTTCCTACCACTGAAGGGGCGACATCTCTCGGATCTTCAGTGTAGCTACTACTCAAATCATATAATTAATTCTCTTTATCGATTTTCTATTGGCGTCTTGCAGTGAAACTTTTCCAAGCTTTCGCCACCTACATTTCGAAGTGAGAACTACTAGAAGGAGGATAGTTTCCAAAATTTTCCAAGTAAAACAGACGATTTTTGGGGCAAATCGGTCTATAAAGAAAAACTAATAATTTTCCGTTGAAACTTTTGCTTGAATCGTGTAAGAAAACGTATTTGAAAACTAACTGTCATTATTTCGGTATGGATCGGAGATGTTTTCATGGAAAATTATGCATAACAAGTTTGCACCCACAGAGAGAGGTTACCTCCTGCGCAGCTGCATTTTTCGGAAAATGGTAAATATGTGCGATTTCCACTAGGATGAAAGTGAAAATTAAGTGAATTTACTTAGGAACGGTTGTATCATGCTGGTGGTAATGAAGAATTGGTTGTATAGGACGCCAATATTCAATAAATGTTCATTTTGGCCTTTTTAAGGCAAACATATTGATACTCACAATTTTCGACGGAAAACGTAACGGAACTTGATTTACTCAACACGCACCATACTATAAAATTGTGCTAGATGGTTTTCAAAGTGTTAACAAGTTGACAAATCATCTTTATTTTGAGTAATTGAGCAATTTACTTCTGTTTACATCATATTTACGATGCAGCATTGATGGAGCCATGAAATGAAATGCATGTATCTTATGAAAGTTCATCTGGAAAAGTCAAAGATGCACAATAGCCTGATCGTAAAAACGTTTTCTTCTTCAATTCGAATGTTATATTGGAAGGATTTTACGCAGGCTTGATGACATCTATGATTAAATGCTAATTTTCACGAATTTTATATGCAGTCTGTCAACATTATCATCATCATGCAGTGGCGACATCTGCGTTGAGCTTTTACGGCAATCTCCCAAATTGCATTGCTTCAGCTAAGCGAAATAATGTTCTAGAATTTGTTCAATGCATAGTTGTTACAGGTTGTATTGGCTATCAAAAGCTACAGCAAACGCACCGAGAAACGTTAATTCTAGCGAGTTATTATTAACAAAAGAGAAAATCGACGAAGAGAATCGATCATCGCGTTTACGCCCTTATGCATGCTCACTGTCGATATGTCATCCTACAACTTTTCATGAGCATGAAAAAAAAACACGGAATCCTAACGTTCTTCGTCGGAGGAATCTCGAAGAATCTGAGGAAAAAACTGGCGTTTTTTAAATTTCTGATACTTTTTCACAATTTTTTAGAAATTTCAAACCGTATTTCCAAATATATCATATTAACAATATGATCCATTCATGCCTTTTCCAAATGTTGCAATGGCGACCCGCAAAATATTGCTTCACGCACCATCTAGCGATGAAAAAGGTCAGCAACAATCATTCAATTACAATCGAGGGGTGCGAATATAGCACTTATCACAAAAGTAAGAGTCAAATTATTTTCATTGATTACATTGTGTATATTGCTTTAAAATTTATCTGACATGTCACTGTAGTCATCAAATAAAATAAAATGCTGAAATACATTCATGTGAAATATTAAACAAATTTTCATTTGATTTACCCCTCGTGACGATAAACAAATACATTGGTAGCCTTTTTTGGCCACAGAGGTGCTTTCTTCGCTAAAAATTCGGTTCGCCAGCTAAGCGAAAGAGTGGATCATATTGTTAATATAATATATTTGGTATTTTCCATGCAGCCTAGTTGCTTTTATAGACTTCGAAAAATGTCTGTGATTTTATAAATCTTTAAAATTCGGACATCAGAATCAGCGCTGCCATTTATACAGATTTATCTGTATTATACAGATTTTTTAATCTTAATACAGACCCGATACAGAATACAGATTTATCACAGATTTTTAAATTACAATACAGATTTATACAGATTTTTATAAAATGCTTGAGAAAAAAATATCAAAATTTATAAAAACAAAATAACTTGCTCGATTTTATCAGCGTACCCCCTTCTCTATAAAATTAATTGTTGTGCTAAAAACCATATTTTTTGCAGTGGGATCTGCTCGAGGCATTGTTGTTTCTTTTATGCTTCTCTCACTCCCTCCAACGGAAAACGCAGTCACGCCCGTCACGGTAGTTTCGCATTGAAAATGTATTTCGTAAAAAATTGCGGATTTTCTGATATTCTCCATACTGCAAAAATGATTTTACCAGCACTGGCGGGGCGACATCTCTCGACTTTTCGGTGTAACTACCACACAAATGATGTAATTAATTGTATTCATCTATATTAAAAATATCAAATAGTAAGGAACTCGTGCACTTTTTGCATTTAAAACTGCTTATCAGGAAGATAATGAATAGAAACTAAAATCTCCATACATTTTCAAACGGCTTCATATCACTCTTATAAATAAGTACGGACGATATCACAAATGGCGCAATTATATCCCGTATGGTTAGTACGATAGCCCGAATAGGTGGTTAAGCACTTTTTATGGTTATTTTGTATGCACTGTATTTGTAAAACAACAAAACATGATTAATTAAGAAAAAAATCGTCAATACAGAAAATACAGATTTTTTAATAGAGTGGATACAGATTTTTTATAAAACCACCTGGCAGCTCTGATCAGAATAATCGGACTTGGATAATCTGCTGTGAGCATCGAACGGGGACGGGGGACACTGACTAAGTTGAAAAGTTGTGCTGAAGACAATTCTTTCAATCTCGTTGAAGATTTTTCTAAAAACGTATGGCATTCCTAGTGAAGGTTATTTTCGGTTTACTAACCTTTTCAGCTGTTTGACAACTCAGTTAAAAAATATTGAGCCCAGTAAAATATTATTTGTGTGTAAGCTACAACAGTACATACACATGACTAAAGAGTTCATGTTACAAAAAATAATCAAACTTTAACACATTCGAAAGTTCTAAACACATTTCAAAATGTGTGTAACAACTGATAACAATATTAACTAATTTCACTTCCACTCGAACTTTGAAATAAAACAATATTTTGAACTTTTATCTTCCATAACCACGAGAAAAAAAAATTTGAGCGTTTCAAAACTTGTTGGTCCAGTTTTGTGAAATAGCTGGCAGAACGCCAAACTACTTGACAAGGTGGCCCATTAAATTATATAATCTATCATTTTGAGTGAACCATTCATGTTGTAGAAAACTTTTCCAAATCATTCCAATGTGACCTCTAAAATTCCTTAGTTTAACGCACCCGCGCGAAATGTAATGCGCTCCGCGATAAACAACAGAAAAATCAAAATCAAAGCGAAATCAAACCATCGCTCATTCAAGGTCTCAATAGTATCTACTCGAGCTGCTGGCCAGATAAGCATATACCTATACCGTACACATCAGCCCTATTTTTTTTTTTATGTTACCTTCAACTATTTTCGTCCGTTCAGACAAAATATGTAAACAAACAACAGGGCGATTCACACATACTTGTGACTCGAACCACTTCTAACTCGTTTTTCCCTTCTGTTTCTTCCATCTCCACCCCCTCTCGCTTCCTTCCATTTCAGCCACCTACCCTTCGATCTGTATGGAGCTGTCCGATCACGAAGTGTCCGAATACTACTCGCCCAAGGACTTCCTCGTCGGTGCAACCATTTTCGTCTTTGGACGAAAATTCTTACTTCTGGACTGCGATCGCTTCACCCGGAGCTACTATGAGAAAGTTCTGAAAATCATCCAACCCGATCCGGTCCGCATGGGAAGCCCTGAACCTCGAACCCCTCGCAAGGAACTGCCCACCTACCTTGGTCTGGGTACCCCGGAGGATTCGATCGCATCACATCACAGTCTGGTTCCGAAAAGCCCCCGCAAAGATGTCGTTACTTACTTGGTCAACATGAACAAGTACCTTCGCTACGGTTGCATACTGGACAATGCCCACCCGGAGGATACCATCCGCAAGTTTGTGCTCAGTTTGTCCCTTGCGGATGGAACACTTACGATCATGGAATCTACTATTCGTAACTCTGGCATCCGTGGGGGACGGTTCCTATCACCCACGAAAGTTTGGAAACCGGATTGTAACCCGAACGTCCCGGAATACTACACGGCAAGGGATTTCTTCATCGGGGCGATCATTATCGTTTACTCGCATCGGTTCAAAATCGTTAGCACGGACCTGTATGTGTACCGGTACATGCAAGCCCATCCGGAAATGTTCGCTTCGAGTGCGATGGAAACTGTTCGAAATTATCTTCTATCGGAGGGACACCTGAGAGATGATTTGAGACAAGCTATCGAAGAGGACTGCCAACGGTATGGACCACCACAGGCACCGGAAGTAGAACCAAACAACGATAAAGGAGTGGGTGAGGTTGACAAACGGCTGCATGACTTCAAGCTGGAAGATGCTAAGATGAAGGAAACCCCACTTCCAGCCTTGGTTCAAGCCGACAGGCATCAATGTCCATCTCCGATCATTCCAGATGAGGAAATCAAAAAGACCTACCACTCGAACGAGCAAATGGATCTGTTGCTGCAAGGACAGATTGAGGGCGAGGACGTGGTCAAAATGGGCAAAATAGTACGATTTGAGGATGGTTGCTAATTTTCTACTTACCGGATTTCAATGGACTGATAAGACAAGTTGTGGAAGGAGAACTTTAAATGGCACGACACAAGGTTTCAGATTGAATTAAGCACAGCAATGTCTTTTGTATTTTGTTTTGTGAATAAATTGCACAAAATTCACCGTTTGAACAGAAAAATCTTCAAATTTATTCAACCCGAAAGAATATTGTTATCACTGCACTAGTAACGAACCACTTATAACGACTTGCAAACACGCACTAAAGAATCACGAACTACCGAATTCGACTGAAGCAAGGACAATAATAACAACATGTCCCCCAGAGATGTACACAGGTGTGGCCCAGAGAATCTATCGTCTCGTTCGTTCCTCCGCTGTTTATCAAATGGATGAAGGAGTTTGACGTCACTATGTCAACCAAATAAAAGAGACAACGAATCCACACTGCCTCACCTGTTTACACTCACTGCCCCGAAGGTGCGGAGGTTATGTTTTTGCGTAGTGCTTTTTGCGTATTTTTGTTTTGGAACTGGCGTGGGACATTTCTAAAGGGGCTCGATGCGTGCGGAAAGTCACGCGTCGCCATCGTCTCGTCTATCGATCACGCACGGAAGGCACACTGCTCCTATTACACTCACACCGTAACAGGGTCATAGCGAGCGAGCACATGTTTTGATAATGTTCCCATGTAAGGGAGAACAGCCCATAATGCACCCCTGGGGTAAAATGCCCACTTATAGAAAAACAGCGATAACTTTTCCTCAGATGCATTTTCCGGGTAACGGATTGTGTTTGTTTTCAACTGGAGGTTTCGCAAATGATTCTTGATCATAAAATCATATATTGACCTACTGATTCCCTTAAAAAACAGCATTTTGTGCAAAATATGATACAGTTGTTAAAATCGTCGACTTCAAATTAAAGCTTTTAACAGCATATATCGCAAAAATTGAACTAATTCACTTTTCGTATATTTTTTAGATGTTTTACTTAATGAATCACAGTTTAACACTCTATTGCGACCTTATTTCTGATGAAACATAAAGGAATAATCATCAGGCGTCAGATCACCATGAATCAGGCGTTTTGCCCCGCTATCATATTGGAACCAATTTATAAAATACCTTGAAAATCATGAAAATGCATCGTTCTGTAGTTAGAAATCACTTGATCTTCGTAGAAAACATGGTAATGAACCAAACACCATTACTTTCTTCTTGATTTTAGCTTCCATACGCCAGCAATTGACGATTTTGCTTAAACGGTGCGTTTTGCACCATCCTACCCTATTCGTGATGCGATAAAGATTCACTGTTTTGGTTCGAGAAATGTGGAAGGGTATGGTCACCGATAATGATCCCTTGGTAAATATGGTACCGGTGCCGAACCCGGTGCTCATTGTGATTTTTATGTCGCTCCACAAAATGTTCAAAGAGCTAGTTGTTGTAGTTTTTTAACATGTGCATCAGAATTTTGGATGCTGTTTTGATTCATCAAATATTCAAAGTTAATCGGTATTGTTTTTGTTATTGTTGAATTGTTGTTATTTAGTAAATTTATAGAACAGCTCAATAGGTTAGGGGCCCAGTAGCACCGAGGAATTTACATTAAGTGGAGCATTTTTTTCCGGTGCGAAACGGATCGAAGTGCAGTTTTTTTTTATATTTTTCGGAATGTCGCGAGTGTGATGCAAAATGGCGGACATGAAAGCATCGTTGTAATGTTGTTCGCAAAATTGGTGTATATCACAAAGCGTAATATAACACAGGCTTCGAAATGAATTGCTGAAAAATTCAGTAAAAATTTGAATGACCATTAGCTATAAGGAATCAATTAAATCGACAAATTTTATTTTCTATCATTAAATGAGATTAGCGGCGCCAGTAGTGATTGATTTTGTAAGCGTGATTGCCTCTCACCCCAAAAGGCCTGGGTTCAGTCCCAGTCGGTGCAGCCGGATTTTCTGAGGCCTAAAGTCCTTATCAAGCCTTCTTTCAAAAGGGAAGTGAAGCCGTTGGTCCCTGGTTCATGAGTTGATGGATCGATATGGGAGGTATGGGAGCTGCCTCCCTCACGAAACGAAAATTAATTACTTTATTCATGTGTTTCACTTATATATTTTCGCCAAAACATCAGCCTTATACATTCCATAAGACAAACCACATACTTCCTTTAAGAATGCATAAACGGTATGTGTGACCATTTATACATTTCATTTGACACATGATCTTTATTAACTTTTTGCAAGGCGTCTGCTTATTAGTTGACTTATACATTTTATGAATAATCAGCAATGGAAATTTGCCAAAAGGTATAAGGGGATTTCTATCCGTGCTGGCGTCGGTAGCATTGGTGCTCAGTACGGAAAACCAGATCGACGGAAAACAAATCAAAGGAAAAAAAAGAAATGAGATTAACAGAACTATATCTGTACAAGTTCGGAAAAAGTTTCATATTTTTGAATTTCCTGCAGAGTTTTAAACTTTTATCGAACAGTCCGCAATTCAAAAACCCAGTAAAAACATTACTGACTGGATTAATGTGTATATGTTATGTGCAGCTTATCTGCTGTAATATTCAACAACTTTTTTTTACTGTTTTCCTAATAAAAAAAACTACCATACATGAACGAAAACCCAAATAATAAAATTATTCCACAAATGGTTTGGATGATACCCCGAACACGTCGTTAAGCAAAATAACCATAACAAATTTATTCGGGTTGGTTTTCAATTTCAGATTGAATTCCTATTTCCCATTTGCATCGACGTAAAAACTTGCCGCAGCTTGTTAACCGAGCTTGTGCTGCATAGGTGGAAGAGATTACTCCGTTGAAAACTTCATCTGCATGATAACTGGTACTTGTCGATGACGATGATCTCGTCCAATCAACGAATTCGACAGAGACATCCACTACTCGCACCCGTACCGGAAAATGTTTTGAATGATGAATAAGAAGAGGCTGAGCAGTCGAGGCAGCAAGAGAAAAAAGCGTGACATCAAATCCTATGTCCCGATCGATTCGTACAGAAGTTTTAATGCGCCGCCTGTTCGGAAAGGATTCCCCGTGACATGAGCGAGCGTCACTACGCGAAGCATGCCGGCCATACCTATCGGGTTGATATCGATCCAGTGATCGATCTGTACGACGAAACTACTGCCACGGCGATTGTAATCCGCTTCATGAAAGTGCAGCGGCAAGTGACGATCTACTGTGACGATCTACTGCGACAAATTTAACGTGCCTAAGAAATCGGCTCTCGGATTAGTATTCCACCGGTTGGTTTGGCAAACACGACTAGTACTCGCACTGTCTGGTTCTGCAGAATAATAAGAAGAAGCTGGAGCAGACAAAACTGATATCAGGCAGCTTGGGTGGATCCTTCCAGTTCCGCTACGGAGGAGCGAATGTAACCAGCATAAGCCTGGTACGCAACTGAAAAGTAATGACGTTTTTATGTGCTACCGGATAGAGCCTGGTACGCGGCTGAAAAGTAATGACGTTTTTATGTGCTACTGGATAGAGCCTGGTACGCAGCTGAAAAGTAATGACGTTTTTACGTGCTAGGACACGTGATAGGACTCGGAATGCAAAAGAAATTACTTTTCCTCAGCATTTCTTGACCCAGTACGCAGTTCAAAAGAAATCGGTAAAGGAAAGATCGATTACATTAGTATCGTGATCGACATGAAGGTGGCGCATTCTGAATGCAATTTCACTTTCCTTGCGGAATAATGGTCTGATCAATTGTTCCGTTAAGCCTGGTACGCAGCTGAAAAGAAAACGGAAAAGTAATTTTTGAGAATTTTTCCCAAAAGAAAATTTGACAGCTATAGTCTGCTAAATTTTGAGATTATAGGGAGATGTCGTCAAATTGTAAAATCAACACTTATTAGTGTTTATGTTGTTTAAATGCATCCAAAACATCAGTTTTGCAATAAACGCCAACATTACCTAACGGAATAATTGATCAGACCATTATTCCGCAAGGAAAGTGAAATTGCATTCAGAATGCGCCACCTTCATGTCGATCACGATACTAATGTAATCGATCTTTCCTTTACCGATTTCTTTTGAACTGCGTACTGGGTCAAGAAATGCTAAGGAAAAGAAATTTCTTTAGCATTCCGTGTCCTATCCCGTAGCACGTAAAAACGTCATTACTTTTCAGCTGCGTACCAGGCTTTAAGCCTGGTACGCAGCTGAAAAGAAAACGGAAAAGTAATTTTTGAGGATTTTTCCCAAAAGAAAATTTGACAGCTATAGGCAGCTAAATTTTGAGATTATAGGGAGATGTCGTCAAATTGTAAAATCAACGCTTATTAGTGTTTATGTTGTTTAAATGCATCCAAAACATCAGTTTTGCAATAAACGCCAACATTACCTAACGGAATAATTGATCAGATCATTATTACGCAAGGACAGTGAAATTACATTCAGAATGCGCCACCTTCACGTCGATCACGATACCAATGTAATCGATCTTTTCTTCACCGATTTCTTTAGAACTGCGTACTGGGTCAAGAAATGCTAAAGGAAAATAATTTCTTTAGCATTCCGTGTCCTATCCCGTAGCACGTAAAAACGTCATTACTTTTCAGCTGCGTACCAGGCTTTAAGCCTAGTACGCAGCTGAAAAGAAAACGGAAAAGTAATTTTTGAGGATTTTTCCCAAAAGAAAATTTGACAGCTATAGGCTGCTAAATTTTGAGATTATAGGGAGATGTGGTCAAATTGTAAAATCAACACTTATTAGTGTTTATGTTGTTTAAATGCATCCAAAACATCAGTTTTGCAATAAACGCCAACATTACCTAACGGAATAATTGATCAGACCATTATTCCGCAAGGAAAGTGAAATTGCATTCAGAATGCGCCACCTTCATGTCGATCACGATACTAATGTAATCGATCTTTCCTTTACCGATTTCTTTTGAACTGCGTACTGGGTCAAGAAATGCTGAGGAAAAGTAATTTCTTTTGCATTCCGTGTCCTATCCCGTACACTGTAACTGGAAAGTACCCATTAATGGGTGAAAAAGTGCCCATTTCGAAGTAAAGTAGGTAAACTCATTTAATGGGTAAAACGTCTTTACCCATTAATGGGTAAAGACCTTGTACGTCAAATCATGGGGTACTTTTTTACCCATTTTTAAATAATAATTGGATTTATAAAATGGGTACAAAGTACCCAATTTTGAAATCCTTAAACCATGATTTTTCTTTTAGAATTTGTATGATTTATGGATCATTGAAAGAGCCACAATGAATAGTTAAGAATAC